CCTGCCAAAATTGTAAAGAATTCATTTCAGTTTTATGGAAAATTGTTTTTTTCATATTCTGTGGCCAATGAGAGCCATGGTCTCATGCCCCTGTAAAAACTTGGATGGAGCATTCTGTGGGCCTAAATTTCTAAATAACTAAGATCTTAGGTTAGTCAATGGGAGGAGAAGATTTTTTGACAGCAAGGGGACAAGGCAAATCAATATCCGAGATCAGAAGGCATTTGACACCAAGAAGGAAGCATCAAAAAGACACCAGTTACCAGCCAGCTGCAGAGAGATGAAAGAATTTTGAAGCCCAAATGAAAATTCTCCTGTGATTGGACAACAAAGAAGGAAAGGAATTCTAAGAAATGTTCCCAAGCACAAACTGTGTGAATTTAAAACGGGATTTTTCAAAAATTAGTGCATCCCAGAGACGCTTTTGGGGGAAGCAAAAAATAGGTGTTTTCATTTATTCTCAAACAGGTGGTTGCACCTTCTCTTTTTCATCTTTTTCAAAATTATTATCTTTTCCCAAAACTGTAATTGGTGTGGCCTTGTTAGGGCCAGGGTGAGGGAGTCCATTACATAACACTATCTATCTATCTATCTATCTATCTATCTATCTATCTGTTGTGGCCTTGTTAGGGCCAGAAATAAAGACACAAAGAGAGGAATTGAGTTAAACAAATATATTAACAGAATCAGTAATACAAACATATACAAACGAAAGTGCTACAGCAAGAATGTTTGGTCCAACTGTCAGAGCAGACTGCTGGAAACTTCCCTCTCTAAAAGGCAGTACCTGCTCCTATTTATAGCTGGGAGAGTCCATGTATGCGTGGGTAAATTACCATAACAGTAATTTTTCCATTTTTCAATGGTAATCTTTTTTATCAGAAATTGTTATCCTGCATTAATAGTTGCACAAAAGGAAATTTTTGTGCAAATTTGATATTTGTACCTTTTTTCAAATTTGTGTAAGAAATGTGTTTTTCTTTTAAAATTTTACACAGTGATTGAGTCTTGTTTCCTTATGACTAGCTATTCCTATTAAACTAAGTTTTGTGTTTGGCACAAGAACTTGGATTTGGTGGGGAATCAAATTTTTATACCTTTGCAATGCATTTCCATAGAAAAACAATATGTTCTGTATTTTTATATAGGGTGTTTGTAATTACTGTGTAGAGAATCCAAGTTTTGTTAAATTCTATCTAGAAATTAATATAAAATCATTTAAATAATATTTTGTGGTCACTACTTCTTGTTAGATGAGGGGCTGTCAAACTCTTTTGACCAGAGATACCCTTTTGTTTCTTTTCCTTTCCCAGAGACCCCCCTTTTGTTTCTCTTCCTTCCCAAGAGAAACCCCTTTTGTTTCTATTCCTTCCCCAGAGACCCCCCACTTTCTTTCTCTTCCTTCCCAGAGACCCCCCTTTTGTTTCTCTTCCTTCCCAAGAGAAACCCCTTTTGTTTCTATTCCTTCCCCAGAGACCCCCCACTTTCTTTTCTCTTCCTTCCCAGAGACCCCCTTTTTGTTTCTCTTCCTTCCCAAGAGAAACCCTTTTGTTTTTATTCCTTCCCGAGAGACCCCCCACTTTCTTTCTCTTCCTTCCCAGAGACCCACCTTTTGTTTCTCTTCCTTCCCAAGAGAAACCCCTTTTGTTTCTATTCCTTCCCCAGAGACCCCCCACTTTCTTTCTCTTCCTTCCCAGAGACCCCCCTTTTGTTTCTCTTCCTTTCCCAGAGCCCCTTTTCTTTCTCTTCCTTCCCCAGAGACCCTCCCTTTCTTTCTCTTCTTTCCCCAGAGACCTCCTTTTGTTTCTATTCCTTCCCCAGAGAATCCCTTTTGTTCCTCTTCTCTCCCCAGCAACCCCAGTTAAAAAATTTGGATCAGTTTCAACCCGTGGCAAAATTTAAGAAAACATATTAATTAACCAAGTGAATGAAGCAAATAATATATTAAGTTCACCAAGCCTAAATACAGTAAATACATCAAAGGATAGAAAAAATACACCAAATAAATACACCAAGCCTAAATATAGCCAATGTTATTGAACAGAAAGACATCAGCACTAGTAATATCCAATTAATAAAAAAGCTAGGCCACAAAAATCTCCTGAGCCAACCAAGCATAGAAATAAATACAATATGGGAACCAGTAATAAGGAGTGCCGGAGAAAAGCAATGATAACAACAAAGTTGCAATATGAGCTCTAGTAAAAACATAAAAAGATAACAGCAAAAATTGCAATATGAGCACTGATAAAAATGGTTGCTGAAGACATTAGATTTATAATACCCAGAAATTCATACCCAGATGTTCTCAAGAACACATGGCACAGTGGATCCAGTGACAGGACCCAAAGAGTGTGAGTTCAATACCCGGTTAAGGCAGTGGTGAACTTTCAGAGGGAAATTAACCGGAGATAACTGATAACTGACATCCATTAAACATGGAACAGTCTACCCCAGTGAGCGAAATAAAGGGTTCAGTTCGACATTCCAACCACCTGAA